TACCAAACATAGAGACAATATTATGCTGTTGAACATGAAAATTCCTTCTTACAGAATATACAGGCATTATTATCAATTTGGACACAAAATCAAGTTTTCTTAGCAGACATTGATAAATTATTATTCTTTTACATTTTCTATCCAGACATTAAGAAATTATTATTTTTTGGAAAAGAAAATAATTTGCTTAGTAATCATAATGAAATTATCTTTCTAGATAAGAGATTTCATTACACCGTTTTTGATTCGCACTAGCAAATCCCAGAATACTAAATCTAATGTAATGACAGTAACGAAATTTTGTTCTATTGGCGTTTTTACCCAAAGAAATACCAAAATAAACTCTATATTAGGTGTCACACCGGAAATGATTCCCAGAGAATTGACCTGTAAGTAACCATATAACCACCAAGGTAAGAACTGTGCCTAAAAATTTGTTCATCTCTACGATTGCATAAAACAGTAAGTAACCCAGCTGATCTTAAGTTATACACAGACGACCATTGATATATACGAGAAAATCGGTTTGGTTGTTTTGGTTTGGTTTGTTTTACGGTATATCAACCTCAATGGGTCATTTAATGCCGACAACTTTTTTTTTTCTGGTAATATTTTTGTTTTGTCAAACATCTATTTCTGTTAATATTTTTTCCTCAAAAATGTATAGCTGGTAATATTATGTTTTCAAAAACGAATAGCTGGTAATATTTTTTCAAAAACGTATAGCTGGAAATATTTTTTTAAAAATTCAGTTTTTTTTTTTTTCAAAAACATATTGCCGGTAATATATTTTTTTCCTTCAAAAAGTTATTTCTGGTAATAATTTTTTACAAAATATTTCTGGTATTAAAACCTATTTTACACTTTTATAATGCCTTTTACTTCAGTTTCTGGGTTAACTATTTGCCCATAGCTGGGACCGTAAAATGTGCTACCACCCCGGGTTAGAGTGGTTACCTGGGAACACCAGCAATTAAGAAGAGTTTCCACGGTCCTCAAAGCCTCTTGATTGGAGACCTTGCCATTTGACGTAGTTTATCGTCTTACCCTGGACGCGGATGTAGTTTACCGTCATATTCAGGACGCCGAGAAAATCGGATGGCACATAGACACATTATTTATATGTATATTGATGCATGTTTCATTATATAATATAGACAAGTTTTGTCCATTTATTTTATGTAAATTCTTTTCATATTGTCTGATAAACTTAATAAAATTATCATTAAAAGACAAAAGAAAATCACAATATTGATACATATTTTTTAATCCTATTTAAGCTTTCGGCTTACATAAGCCATTATCAAAGATGACAATGACATTACAATATATTTAACAATGCACGGACAAAACAATAATGATGGTCTGTTTTTGTTTACATCGAAGATTTCCAAGTAACGACAAACTCGTGCATACGAGACGCTGGAAGCAAAAATCGCACCGCAGCTCATGACGGCATACATGACCACGCGAGAGTAAAAATGTGAAGTATAGGAAGCCGCTGGTATAAACCAATGGCTTCTGTTATCAATTATAGGCATTTTATAATATATATATATATATATATATATATATATATATATATATATAATTGTCCAAATCGTGTAACAACATAATTATCCATTTTCAAATAAAACGTTTAGCCATCTTGTCATCAATTTTTGGGGGATCACCATTTCAACTTAGAGCTAAATATATCAATTAGAAAAGATCCAAATCAATGCATAAGAGTTCGAGGTCTAACAGTCCAAAAAAGACTTGAAAATGAAATCGTACGTGAAACCTGTGAGGCAACTTGTTAATCCAAGACAGAATGTTAGAAGTTTAGAGCGGGCGATAATCATCTTGAATAAGTTGGAAAATGATCCTGAATAATATATATATATATATATATATATATATATATATATATATATATATATATATATTTTGAACTTTATTTCAATGCTCCATGAGCTTCCGATCCTTCGCTATGATTAATTAATGATGTACATGTCATATTTGATTTCATTACGCTACCTCTTTTAAGCTTAGAGAGTAATTATACATTCTTATTGCTCAAAGTAGAGTCCAAGAGGGTTATAAAAACCTCGAAGAATTCCAGTAAGATATCTTTAATCATTTCTAAGATACAACGGTTCAGATCTGAATCTAATAATTTGACAATTTTTTTGTCACACCAGGTATATAAACGTGTACATGAAAGTCAACACATAGAGGTGACAGCCTGTTTCATGCTTAAACGCAATCGTCAGTCCACGTTTAAGCATGAAACAGACCGTGGCATCTGGGGGTTGACTTCAATGACGACTTTTAAAACTTTCGTACGCTCTATTGAACACTTTAGCCCATAAATATAGTATACCTTAAAACTATATCTTATTTACCGCGGTGGTAAAGGCGTATATATATATATATATATATATATATATATATATATATATATATATATATATATATATATATATATATATATATATATATATATATATATATATATATATATATATATATATATATATATATATATATATATATATATACATATATATATGGTGTAAAACTGAAGAGGAAACGCACTCTTTTTTTTTTGTTATACGGCAAATCCCGTCAGTATCTGCCTATATATCTGAGAAGAACTATTATGTACACATGGCACAGTGGATAAAGGCGTTAGTTAGATCCAGTGACGGGACCGAAAGAGTGTGAGTTCAATACCCGGTTAAGGTAGTGTAGAACTTGGAGAGGGGAACTAACAGGAGATAACTGACAAGTGACATCCATTAAACATGTCACGTGGAACTCGTACAGTCTACCCTAGTGAGCGAAAAAAATGGTTCAGTGTGACTTTCCAACCAACCTGAAGAAGGCAGGACCATACAACGGCCGAAACGTTGTAATAAATATGGCGGTAAAGATGAGAACAATAGTCCAAATAATGAAAATAGGGCATTTCCCGTATACGTGTTACAAATTCGACGCAACATGTGATCATTGAATTTGAATAGGAAATTCTCTTGTAATCACTCTAATTTCCAAACCTTTTACTGTGCAACTTTCTCTTGATTCACTTCCAACTCTACTTTTTTCTGGTTATTGGTTCCAAAATGAAGTCGTTGTTTACAATCCAGAATCGTTTTCATGTTAAAACATGTAATTTATGCGAAAATGGGATAAGATCTCAGTAAATTGAAGGAGATATCTGATTGTTAATTAATGGTAATCATTAAATAATAATAATTTATATATTCATAAATATTAATGATAATTTACACGGTCTTTTCAAATAATGTTGAAAATTTTTTTAAAGTTTTTAATTCTAAGCTGAGAGGTGATGTAAGTTCACAGAAAGACGAGGAAAATGGCTGAATAATGATTCTCTGAGTTCATACCATATATTTTGTCAAAAAATACCAAAGAGTTTTACGCAAACCTAATAAGTAAAATATACTTGGTCTGATGGATTGGTTTGTTTTTCACGGCTTATCAATCTTTTAAGAGTTACTTTAAAGTCAAAATAATTTGGGGGATTATAAGGATTTATTGATGCAGTCCCATTAATTAACACATAGCTGGGGCAGAGGCGAATGTATTCTTTTCCTAAGGGTATTTGAACGTAAGTGAATATTACGAACAACAATTAGAACTCAGCTCTCCGATTTCCAATTCAGGCCCGTTATATATTACACCACCCGCACATCCAAATTTACAGAACCCGGTATTCCCAAACGGTCACCCGTTTAGGTACTGACCAGGCTAAACATTGCTTTACTTCGGTTGTTCTACGTCATGAAAGCTAGAGTTATGAAGTCATATGTCATCACTAATTCTATTTCCATTTCAAATATTCAAATGAATACCGATTCAGGTATTTACAGCTAGGAGACGCCATGATAGTTATTTATAAGAGTTCGAGGTCTAACAGTCCAAAAAAAAAAAAAAAAAAAAATGTGAATGAAAAAGAAAAAAAAGAATAATGGAAATTAACAAAAATTGGGTAAAAAAATAAATATATAAATGAAAAAGAAAAAAGGAGAAAAATAAAAAAAAAGAAAAGACTTCTTCGTTGCTTTTTTTTTTCTTTCGGCCGTTGTATCTCCTTCAATTTCTACGTCTCCCAAATATAAGGAGAAAGTTCTAATCGGAGAGCCTTTTTCTGAAGAACAGCTACTTTATGGCAAAAACTCCCGCGTAGATACTTACCTGAGCAAAATAAACATAAAATCTTCAAGTCAAGGTCCAACCTCGTCATCTAACCTCGTTGCCCTCATAATCTTCCCTCTTCCACCACCTCCTATTTAATTACTATTACACAAACCTGATTCATCATAACCATTCTGACAGTAACCCTCTACATTTACTGGCTCTCGAGCCTTTTATTTAGTGAGAGTTTATTATAAAAAATCCAAAATTAGAATAACAGCTTCTTTCTTCACCTGCCTTTAGAAATAATTATTAAACTTTGTTTTCATTTCTTTTTCTTTTTTCTTTTTCATTTCTATTTTTTCGCTTTTTTCTTTTTCATTTTTCTTTTTCTTTATTTTTTTCTTTTTTTCTCTTTTTATTTCCACTTTTGTTTCATTTCCCTTTTTATTCTTTCCTTTGCGTTTTTCTTTTTTTTCATTCTTTCTTTTTCATTTTTCTTTTTCTTTATTTTTTTCTCATTTTATTTCAATTTTTGTTTCATTTTCTCTTTTTACTTTTTCGTTTCCATTTTTTTTTCATTTTTTCTTTTTCATTTCTTTTTTTATATTTTTCTCCTTTTTTCTTTTTCATTTATATATTTATTTTTTTACCCAATTTTTGTTAATTTCCATTATTCTTTTTTTTCTTTTTCATTCACATTTTTCTTCTTTTTTTTTCCTTTTTTTCTTTTTCATCCTTTTTTTTACCACTTTCTTTTTTCATTTCCATTTTTCTTTCTTCTCTTTTCTTTAATCATTTTCTTTTTGGTTTCTTTTTCCATTTGCTCTTCTTTTTCGTTTCTTTTCTGTTTGGCTTGAGGCCATATAACGTGGAAACATTGGTTCCCATACGATCACCGAAGTCAAGCAACGTCAAGCCTGGTCAGTATCTAGACAGGTGAGCGCTTGTGTATATCAGGTGCTGTAAGCTTGGATGTGCGAGTGGTATAATGGTTAATGGCACGGAATTCTTAATTGAAGAACCGAGTTCCAATACCTGTTGGTTTTGTTATATTCACTTAAGTGCAAATACCTTTGGGAAAGGTATGAATACCCCTATTCACCCGCTCCCCACAAAAATGCGTATAAAATATTTCGATTTCGGCATTAAATAACCATTAGAGGCTGATATGCCGCTAAACAAAAACAACGAACCTTTTTCCTTCAGTTTTTTCTTTTTTACTTTTTTCTCTTTTCTTCTACACTTTCTTTTCCTTTTTTTCGTTTACATTTTCTTTTCTTTTCTGGTCAAATTCTCGAAATTAACGTATTTTAAAGATGCGTGACTTCTTGTAACAAATGCTTTTGTGGCGATTCGGGATATAAACAGACATCAAGTCATTACTTAAATTTCACCTCAAACATTAACGGTCTTATGTAGACACGAATCAAAACATAAAGCCCCACCCAGCCCCGGAGCCGCGACTGCAGAACGATGGAAAGGAAATTAGTGTCATCCACTATTTGTTGTCTTAAGGAATCTGTGTGTCAGGGGGGAAATTTTGGTTTTGGAATCTCATACTTAAAAAGCGGGATAGTGTAATGCGTATTAACGCTGAAAGTCGAATCCTTAAGCCGAGTTCGAATTCCGGGTTTGCCTGTTTCGTTCACTTTCGCAGACACCTTATAGAAGTCATTAATCTCTATCAGATACCAGACCAAACATATCTAGGCTATATATTCAGTCTGCGAGGAGAAAAACTCTGATTTCAAATCCTCAGTGAAAGGATTATACTATCTTTCCCAAGAATGTATAGTAATTTACAGATAATAAAAAAAATATGCCGTTAAAAATATATATTTAAAAAGCAACTGGTTATTTGTATTTAGAAACCGGCTGTTCTCACTCCGTGACCGATTCGTTTCAGCCTCGAAAATATCTACCCGTCTCCTGTCATCATCATCTTCTACGTGTAGTATTCGTTAAGGACATGCGCGATTGTGGCTTTCTACAAATTCCTCTCCCTTGAATATCTTAGTAACGTATGATTTTTTGACATCCCTACCGTTTCAATTTACACAAACTGCTCAGGTATGTGGCCCGCTTCTTCTCCCGTCTTTTTACCATTCGATATGTTTTGGGTGTGTCATATTATGCAAATCCGCCTTCCTTATTTTGTGTCCAAAATATTTCAGCTATGTTTTCTTCAGATTTTGAGTAAACGTTTCCTTTTTGTTTCCATTTTCCTTAAGACTTCTTCGTTGCTTTTTTTTTTTTTTTTTTTTTTTTTTTTTTTTAAGCATTTCACCCCAAGCAAGGCGGGAAGCCACTAGGACGCAAAGGGTTACAGAAAGTTTAGAGCAGGATCAGATAGGAGTGATAGAAGAAAGGATGAGGGTAGTGGATAGATCAAGGCAATTGGAGATGTCAATTGACATTACACTTGAATAGCTGGAGATTATAGCTCACAGGGAAACGGGAATAGGGAAGGGAGTTCCACAGGCGAGAGGTGCGAGACATGAAGCTATTGGATTAGAAGAGACGGCTACATTTAGGAGTTACGACAATGAAGGGGTGAGAGCGGGATGCCAGCCTCGTAAGGCACTGGAACTCATGGCATCTGGGAACCAGCGAATGCAGCTCCTCGGAGCAATTTCCATGAAAGTATTTGTAGAATAGACAGAGGGAGGCGACGGCGCGTCTGTGAGAAAGTGACTGTAGACGAGACGCCAGGGCAGGGCCAACTACATTGCATATCCGCCTCTGGAGCCTATCAAGAGCCCCGAGGCAAACAGAAGGGGCACCAGACCATATATGGCAGTAATACTCCATGCAAGGGCGAATTGTTGATTTGTAGATCTAGAGGATCGACTCCGGGGAGAAAAACTTCCTGGCGCGGCTCAGGAAGCCAACTTTCCTTGCGGTGGACGAAGCAATTGACTCAATGTATTTGTTCATTCTCAGGTCAGCAGTCAACGTGAGACCGAGAAGCCGCAGAGATTTGCTTGCCAACACCGTCCATTATGTTTCCAACTTCTTCTGTATAACAACATTTCTGTTAACACCGGTTTTCTCTTCATCTGTGAGAAGGCTGTCCGCTATTTTCTGTTACATATAGGAAAACTGATCTCACATAGCAGTTCAGTACTCTTTTCTTTGTATCTCGCAACTTTTCGTTTCTTAATTTAATTTTCTTACTTAATTTAACTTTTGGAAGGCGTCTTTTGTTACTTCAATGAGCGTTCGGATTTCGTTGTCACATTTTCCATCATTTGCCAAAACCCTTCCCAGATATTTAAATTTCTGTACTTCTCCGTCGTTCGCGTCCTGGGTTTTTTTTTTCTCTTACTGACAACCATATATTCTGCCATCTCACAATTGATAGTCCTTTCCTGTGTCTTTCTTAAACTAAGAGTTCCTTTAGTTTTCTTTCTGCCCCCACCATAAACAAAGTAGCATCTCCATACCTTTTATTGTTAACATTGCCCCCACCGATAATAAATCCTGATAGGATCTACAACTCTCCTGGGATTCATTTGCTGTAGAGGTTGAGTAAATCTGGTGAGAAGTCACATCCTTGTCTTACCCCCCCCCCTTACTCATATTCTATCCACATGCAGAAAGTTTGAATCCAGTATATGTTCCGGATTATTCTGTTGGAATTTTGGGGTACCCTGGTGTACTAGTGAGCCATCCAAAATGAGCTGACTCATTTTATAGTTCACCAATAGAAGGGTTAACCAATCAGAAGGCTCAAAATATTCAATGCGACGTGTATAAAGGCAGCCATGTTTTTCCCGAATATTCATTGCTAGTCTTTGATAACCCGGACGAGGCTCCGCCGAAGAGCAGAGTCTCGTTCAGGGAGGTTGAATGTCCCTGAACCCGTTTATACTCGTTCGAATAGGGAATATTTTTTCCGAGCCCCTAGGCTCGGAGATCCCACATTAATCCCGGCCTTGTGCCACATGTAACCCTCGTGGCGGGTGGCTAAATATCACTGCCAGCCTTTGATATCGAAGACTGAAGAATTACGCAACAGCTGCTGGTGCTATTGGCGATATAGTCAGATTCAGTAGAGTGCCTGACTCGTGAGTGTTAATCTTTAACGTTGCTTCATTGAACAGATTACGTACTGCGCTGTATTCTATATTCATAGACTATGGGGAACATGGTCAACATATTCTAACAGCGTTTCGAAATATATCGAGTTTTCCTAGCAGTTCAAGTAGTTCCTTGAGCAGTACATTGCAAAATGCGTTTGCCGTTCTATAAAACATAAGGGAACATCGCCTGCCATAGTATGAAGTTTATCAATTAGTATCGTAAAACATCACCTAGTGTCATGAATTATATTCTCACTTACTAATTTTTTGATTCTGTACAAACTACATTGATACCAACGCTTAAGAAAGTTGCATATGCTAATGATATCTAAATATATAATATACTAAATATATAATAACTAAAATTAGTACTAAATTTATAATACTAAAATTCTGATTCGTGCTTGTGTGGTGCGTCTGTCCAGTGCATTATGATTTACGAGTTGTTTATACAGTAAGTATATTTATTTTAACTTTTTTCAAAAAGACAGTTTTTTAATTGAAATATTTTAAGTCTTTAGACAGGCACAAAGAGACCCCGCTTTGCCGTTTCGTTCAGTTGTTTGTATAATAAATATTTATATTTCCGCTTTCTTTAAACAAACAATATTTTGAATATTTAAAAAAAAAAAACATTTTAGGTTAATCTAATTTTAAAAAATATTTCAAGTATATAAGATTTAAAAATACGTGTTGTTTATAGAGCAAGTATTTTTATTTTAACTTTTTCAAACAGACAATTTTTTAATTAAAATATTTTAAAGTTTAAACAGACACAAGGGGATCCCTCTTTGCTGTTTCGTCCAGTTTTTTGTAGAGTAACTATTTATATTTCAACTTTCTTTGCATAAACAATATTTTAATTATTTAAAGATTAATTTTTGGCATATTTAAAAATATTTTCTAGCGAATAAGATTTAAAAAATTTTTTTGGGTATATTAAAAAAATAATTTTAATTTAATCTGATTTAAAGTTCAAGATCATCCCGGAGGTCCTATTTCTATTAAATGCTGTAAACAATCAGTTAAGGGTTAAACATGAACTTGTAACCCAGACCAATGATGACAGGAACGAATTGAAATATTTAATTGAATTATAATGAAATTAACTTGCATTTCAATGAAATGTTGAAATGAACTTCAATGTTTTATAACCTGAACCGTCGCTGACCCAACGGCTCATGGTTAGTCTAGTTGCTGCATAAAAATAGAATACAATGTCGATTGTGCATCGTAGTTGAAGTGACATCACTGAATTTGACGACGCTTGTTCTAATAAAAGTGATGCCCCAGAGCTAGAGGTGCAATCATTTGGGAGGGTAGGATTGAGAAACTGATTCGAAGAGACAGTAGAGCGGAGGCCGTCTAGGAATATAGATTCTCCAAGCAGGGTAGCCTAAGAGGGCGGCGTTTTCGTGTTACAGATTGCGTGAACTGGCCCGAAATATTACACTGCAGGTCAGAACACTGCGTGTGGGTGATTTGTTGCGTAATAGTGCAGGATTTGGTTACCGATGGAGTCTTTGCTTAAACTTTGTTAGAAGACCAAAAGTGCGTAAAGACAGACAGACAGACAGCTGCAAGAATAGCCGAGTTAGAATCCCAGTCGAATCAATTACATTCACTTACATGGTAATACCGTTGGGAAAGGTATGAATCTTCTTCTTCTGCAACCCCCTCCAGCTATAGGTAAATAGCCGGAAAGACCGAGTTTTATAGCCTTGGATGGCAACTGGTCTGCCGCAGAAAGAAATAGCAACCCACTGCAGGAAAAAAAATCTGCCTCGTCAGTCAGGTATCGAAAGATACATGATCGCCTACAGGTGTATCACGCATGGCTCGTAACTGATATATATATATATATATATATATATATATATAT